TTCGCAGATCGCAGCCCCCCAGGGACGGCGAGGTCCCGCTCAGATCTGCGCAGCGCCTCACTCCGCAGGACCCACCAGCAGCCCTCGAAAGTGGCGACGGTTTCGCAGATCGCAGCCCCCCAGGGACGGCGTGGTCCCGCTCAGATCTGCGCGGTGCCTCACTCCGCAGGACCCGCCAGCAACCCTTGGAAAGGGGCGACAGTTTCGCAGATCGCAGCCCCCCAAGCACAGCGAGGTCTCGCTCAAATCTGCGTGGTGCCCCACTCCGCAGGACCCACCAGCACCCCTCGAAAGTGGCGACATGTTCGCAGATCGCAGCTCCCCAGGCACGGCGAGGTCCCGCTAATATCTGCGCGGTGCCTCACTCCGCTGGACCCACCAGCAGCCCTCGAAAGTGGCGACCGTTTCGCAGATCGCAGCCCCCCAGGGACGGCGAGGTCTCGCTCAGATCTGCGCGGTGCCTCACTCCGCTGGACCCACCAGCAGCCCTCGAAAATGGCGACGGTTTCGCAGATCGCAGCCCCCCAGGGACGGCGAGGTCCCCCTCAAATGTGCGCAGTGTCACTCCGCAAGACCCACCAGCAGCCCTCGAAAGTGGCGACAATTTCGCAGATCGGAGCCCCCCAGGGACGGCGAGGTCCCGCTCAGATCTGCGTGGTGCCTCACTCCGCAGGACCCGCCAGCAACCCTTGGAAAGTGGCGACAGTTTCGCAGATCGCAGCCCCCCAGGGACGGCGAGGTCCCGCTCAGATCTGCTGGGTGCCTCACTCCGCTGGACCCGCCAGCAACCCTTGGAAAGTGGCGACAGTTTCGCAGATCGCAGCCCCCCACGCACAGCGAGGTCTCGCTCAGATCTGCGTGGTGCCTGACTCCGCAGGACCCACCAGCAGCCCTCGAAAGCGGCGACAATGTCGCAGATCGCAGCCCCCCAGGGACGGCGAGGTCTCGCTCGAATCTGCGCAGCGCCTCACTCCGCTGGACCCACCAGCAGCCCTCGAAAGTGGCGACCGTTTCGCAGATCGCAGCCCCCCAGGGACGGCGAGGTCTCGCTCAGATCTGCGCGGTACCTCACTCCGCTGGACCCACCAGCAGCCCTCGAACGTGGCGACAGTTTCGCAGATCGCAGCCCCCCAGGGACGGCGAGGTCTCGCTCAGATCTGCGCGGTGCCTCACCCCGCTGGACCCACCAGCAGCCCTCGAAAGTGGCGACAGTTTCACAGATCGCAGCCCCCCAGGGACGGCGAGGTCTCGCTCAGATCTGCGCGGTGCCTCACCCAGCAGGACCCACCAGCAGCCCTCGAAAATGGCGACAGTTTCGCAGATCGCAGCCCCCCAGGGACGGTGAGGTATTGCTCAGATCTTCGTGGCGCCTCACTCCGCAGGGCCCACCAGCAGACCTGGAAACTGGCGACAGTTTCGCAGATCGCAGCCCCTCAGGGACGACGAGGTCTCGCTCAGATCTGCGCGGTGCCTCACTCCGCAGGGCCCGCCAGCAACACTCGAACGTGGCGACAGTGTCGCAGATCGCAGCCCCCCCAAGGACGGCGAGGTCTCGCTCAGATCTGCGCGGTGCCTCACTTCGCAGGACCCACCAGCAGCCCTCGAAAGTGACGGCAGTTTCGCAGATCGCAGCCCCCATCGTCGGCGAAGAAAGGGCAGGAGGAGGCGGGACGAAGGAGGTGGCTGAAGGATGAGGATGATGGGGATGATGGAGGAGGGAAGGGGGAGGGAGGAGAGGGGGGGGATGGAGAGGAGGAGAGCCACTCGCGACCGCAGTTGCTCTATTCAAAACGAATCCCAACCAAGGAGGGACGCGGGTTGGGACAACCTTACCCTGCGACGTACCCGAAACCATCGGCACAAAATGATGGTAGAAGGCGCGCCGACAATTATAAAAAAAAAAAAAACAAAAACTTATAAAAAAAATAAAATACTTGAGGTTTGTTGCGTTGACATGGGCGCATCTACTTCTGCGAGCGGCATTCGTGAGGCTCGCAACCCCCCAAGGATTGCGATGTCTCGCTCAGGTCTGCCTGGTGCCTCGCTCCGCTGGGCCCACCAGCAGCCCTCGAAAGTGGCGACGGTTTCGCAGATCGCAGCCCCCCAGGGACAGCGAGGTCCCGCTCAGATCTGCGCGGTGCCCCACTCCGCAGGACCCACCAGCAGCCCTCGAAAGTGGCGACAGTTTCGCAGATCGCAACCCCCCAGGCACGGCGAGGCCCCGCTCAGATCTGCGCGGCGCCTCACCCCGCTGGACCCACCAGCAGCCCTGGAACATGTGAATAATTTCGCAGATCGCAGCCCCCCAAGGACGGCGAGGTCTCACTCAGATCTGCGCGGTGCCTCACTCCGCTGGACCCACCAGCAGCCCTCGAAAGTGGCGACGGCTTCGCAGATCGCACCCCCCCAGGGACGGCGAGTTCTCGCTCAGATCTGCGCGGTGCCCCACTCCGCAGGACCCACCAGCAGCACTCGAAAGTGGCGACAATTCCGCAGATCGCAGTCCCCAGGCACGGCGAGGCCTTGCTCAGATCTGCTCGGTGCCTCACTCCGCTGGACCCACCAGCAGCCATCGAAAGTGGCGACGGTTTCGCAGATCGCAGCCCCACTGGCACGGCGAGGTCTCGCTCAGATCTGCGCGGTGCCTCACTTCGCTGGGCCCACCAGCAGCCCTCAAAAGTGGCGACAGTTTCGCAGATCGCAGCCCCCCAATCACGGTGAGGTCTTGCTCAGATCTGCGCGGTGCCTCACCCCGCTGGACCCACCAGCAGCCCTCGAAAGTGGCGACGGTTTCGCAGATCGCAGCACCCCAGGGATGGCGAGGTCTTGCTCAGATCTGCGCGGTGCCTCACTCCGCTGGACCCGCCAGCAGCCCTCAAAAGTGGCGAATCGCTATGCTGGCACCCCAAGCACTCGACAGTGGCGACAATTTCCCAGATCGCAGCCCCACAAGCACGGCGATGTCTTGCTCAGATCTGCGCGGTGCCTCACCCCGCTGGACCCACCAGCAGCCATCGAAAGTGGCGACGGTTTCGCAGATCTCAGCCCCACTGGCACGGCGAAGTCTTACTCAGATCTGCACGGTGCCTCACTCCGCAGGACCCACCAGCAGCCCTCGAAATTGGCGACAGTTTCGCAGATCGCAGCCCCCCAGGCACGGCGAGGTCTCGCTCAGACCTGCGCGGTGCCCCACTCCGCAGGACCCACCAGCAGCAATCGAAAGTGGCGACAATTTCCCAGATCGCAACTCCCCAGACACGACGAGGTCTTGCTCAGATCTGCGCAGTGCCTAACTCCGCTGGACCCACCAGCAGCCATCGAAAGTGGCGACGGTTTCGCAGATCGCAGCCCCCCAGTCACGGCGAGGTCTTGCTCAGATCTGCGCGGTGCCTCACCCCGCTGGACCCACCAGCAGCCCTCGAAAGTGGCGACAGCTTCGCAGATCGCAGCCCCCCAGGCACGGCGATGTCTTGCTCAGATCTGCGCGGTGCCCCACCCCGCTGGACCCACCAGCAGCCATCGAAAGTGGCGACGGTTTGCGCAGATCGCAAAACAAAAGGCAAAACCAAATGGAAAACAAAAAAAACAAAAAAAAAAACAAAAAACAAAAGCCAAAGACAACAAACAACAACCGCTATAAGCACGCAATGGCCCTCCCCCCAAGAGCACGGTCGTGGGTCCCCACAAATCCGCGGGGCCCGCACGCCGCTGGAGACCCACCAGCAGCCCCCGAAAGTGGGGACAGTTTCGCAGATCGCAGCCACCCAGGCACGGCGAGGTCTTGCTCAGATCCGCGCGGTGCCTCACTCCGCTGGACCCACCAGCAGCCCTCGAAAGTGGCGACAGTTTCGCAGATCGCAGCCCCCCAGGCACGGCGAGGTCTTGCTCAGATCCGCGCGGTGCCTCACTCCGCTGGACCCACCAGCAGCCCTCGAAAGTGGCGACAGTGTCGCAGATCGCAGCCCCCCAGGTACGGCGAGGTCTCGCTCAGGTCTGCGCGGTGTCTCACCCCGCTGGACCCACCAGCAGCCCTCGAAAATGGCGACAGTGTCGCGAGCGAGCCCCCCATGCTCGGGCGGTCTCCGCTCAGATCTGCCGCGTCCCCACATCCGCAGGACCCCACCAGCAGCCCTCGAAAGGGGCGACAGTGGCCAGATCGCAGCCCCCCTTCGGGGAGGGGCGGAGAAGGGCAAGGATGAGGCGGAGGCGGGAGGAGGAGGAGGAGGAGGAGGAAGAGGAGGAGGAGGAGGAGGAGGAGGAGGAGGAGGAGGAGGGACGCGACCACAGTGCTCTATCCAAAACGAATACCCAACCAAGGAAGGTTGGGAACAAAACTTAAGGAACATCCATCTGTTTTGCCTCCTTTGGGTCCTGTTGTGGCCCTTTTGGGCTCTCCGAGGGCTCTCTTGGCCGTCCTGGGGCCCGTTTGGGGTATCTTGGAAGCCTTCGGCCGTCTTGGAGCTTTCCTTGGGGCCTCTTGAGGCCCTATTGGGGGCCTCAGTGGGCCCACTTTGGGTGCTCTTGGGAGCTTCTAGGGGCCCTTTTGGGTCGTCTTGGGGCCCTCTGGGGCCGCATGGGAGCCTTTTTCGGACGTATTGGGGGCCATCTTGAAAAGATGTTGGGAAGATCTTGGGGGTCTCTTAGGCCGTCCTGGGCCGTCGGAAGCCCGAAAATGCCAGACCCCAAACACATTCAAAAAGCACATGACCATCAATGTTTTTGGTTTCCTTCAACTCCTTTAAGGGCACTTTTGGACAGTCGTGGGGCCCTCTTGGGCCTGTTGGGGGCCCTTTGGGGCCGTCTTGGGGTGTCTTGGAGGCCTTCGGCAGTCTTGGGGCTCTCTTGGGGGCCTCTTCGGGCCCTCGTGGGAGCCACTTTGGGCCATCTTGGGACTCCCTTGGGGCCGTCTTCCAGCCCTCTTGGGACCCTCTTTGCCCATGTCTTTCTTTCTTTTTTTCTTGGGGGGGGGCGGCCAGCGCGTCCGGTCCCGTCTGCGAAGACGTGCGGCGCGCGAACGGCATCGTACGAGAGAGGTTGGAATGAAGAAGGGCGACGGATGAGGAGGAGTTGCGGAAGGACTGCACGCCTGGCAGTTCGCGGAAACTGTCACTGCACGCATGGGCAGCGATGGCCGAACTGGCGTGCACCCCCCCCCACCACACACTGACTACCTACCAGACCACCCCAACCCAACCCGAAGACCTGAATTTGACCCGAATTTCGGGTTGGGGGGGGTACGGGTTCCATGTGTTTTTTCAACGTTCCCCGACCCCCCCCACTGGAAATCGAGGATAAATTTGGGCCTTCGGGTTGGGTTGGGGTGGTTTGGTGGGTGGTGACACACACACACACACACGCACACACACACACACACACACTGGAGCAGGCCGGTGGAGAAGCGATGGCATGTTGTGGAGCTGTGCGCAGCCTTGGTTCGCAAAAAACAAAAACAAAAAAAAACCAAGGATTGCAAAAAAAACAAAAAACAAACAAAAAAAACACCCCCCCCCCCCAAAACAAAAAAAAACAAACAACCTTTTTTTTGTTTTTGTTTTTTGCAATCCACCCCCCCCTCCCGGCATGGACCTTCACCCCCTCCCCCTCCATCGCCATCCCCAGCGAACAAGAGGGGTCAGGCCTCCAGGGCTTGGGAGTCCCAGAGGCCAGACATCGCGCTGCGGGCAGCGGCGAGAGGCTTCGGACCGGAGCGGCTGCTGTGCACCGCTGCAGAAGGGCGTGGATAGGGGCGTTGTGGACGCTCAATCCCCAGCTCTTGCTCTTGTTTACGATGGGTCCCAAAATTGGAACCACATGTTGCTGAGAGGAGCGCGGGCAACAACCCAAACGGAAGGGCAAAAACACCTCATTGCGACTCGCTGCCCCACCTAGGCTGCCTCCCGAGCTGGGGCTCACTGAGAGCGCTCGAGGCTGCAAAGCAGTCAGGCCCGACGCAAGCAGGGCGTTAAAAAATGGCCCGAACTCCCTGCACTGGTCAATGTCACCAACAAGACAGGTGCGGGCTTCGACCAACTGATGCCGTGTATTTCGGCGGTGGACAAACCTCCCTTTAGTAAACCTCCCCTCAGTGAAAACGGCCTGGGACCGAAACCGACGGACCTGGACCCACAAAAATGACGGCCGCGACGCCCTTTCGCGAACGAAAACGGCCAATTCCTTAATCGACGTGTCAGGGTAGTAGGTATATCCACCCCCGAGTATGATGCGTCGTAATGGACTGCCCTTTGCTTGCAACCATACAGCCATATGATGACGACAGATATAGATAAGGGTCCAAGCTCCTGCGGCCCCGCTTCGCGGAGGCTCGCGCAGTCTGCCTGGAAGCGGGGGCGGAGGATGCCCGTGTACACATCAGCTGGGCGATGCCACAGAGCACCCCGCGCAGAGGTACTTCAACAAAAAAAACAACAGGCGCTGAAGCGGAAGCGCCAGACCGGATCGAGCCGACGACGTCTGGACCTCATTACCTAAGAGCATGTTGACGAGGCCGTGGCATCTGGAATCGGCGCGTCTGGCCAATGTTTTCCTGCAACTCTGCGAGGAATAGGTCAGGCGAGTCGGATAAGTATAATTCAGGCGTTCTGTCTCTCCCAGCTGGCGTTGATACTCTGTGGAGCTCTGGTCGTGGCAGACTTGCCACAGATGCCCAGACTTCAGAATCAGGAGTTTTCTCGCAGACAGCAGTAGTGCTTGTACGACTTCCTGCCCTGGACCACAAATCTCCAATGATACTCGCTGGCAGCAGGTGTTCTAAAGCCAGACTCAGGGCTCCGAGAAGTGTAGGTGCATTGGAACTCGAAGTGGATTTAGACCCTGCATCTGATGTAACATCAACTTGACTAACAACGTCATCACACATGTCACGCTCGACTGACAATTCTGACTCCGTGTGGTCAAGTCTACCAGATACTTCAGAACTCCAGGCGTGAACACGGCGATACTGTTCTGCTTGCACATGGTCTTCCCGGACACTGGGAATATCACAAGATTCCTCAAGCATCTCACTTACGGTACCGATTAATATATGTTCGCAGGGTTCGACGAGTCCGGATGGACCATCATGTGCTGGATGTACATCGCTGGTAGTTCCTATGTTTGGTATAAACGATGAATCACCCACATCCACGACGGTGTTATCTCGACAACCTGGCGAGTCAAGTGCCGCCAACCCCCCGTCTCGATGGACTTCACCAGACGTTGGCGGCAATATCCCAGTGAAGCTCACATGCGCATGTGGCTGCACCTCATCAGGGGCGCCATCGAGGCTGGGAGAATTCGAACCCCCGTGATGTCGCCGATGGCTAAGCAAACTGATCCTCAATGTCAGTGTAGCGGTGAGCACCAAGAATACGACTGCATTTGGAAGAAGAGAGCGCATGGCCTCCATCAAGTCTTGCCCCTCTGCATGTTCTGTGTATGGGGTTGAAGTACAAGAGTGCAGAACCCCTGATCCGTTGGTAGAGAGATGGAGGGATAGATGGATATCTTTCCCTCCCAAGCGATCAAGGTACGATCGCTCCAACTCAGTACCTGAGCCCAAACGGCCAGGTGCGGGAGAGGTAAGGATAAAGAGTATATATGAGGGTATTACACGGGTTCCACACACGCCCCCCGGCCCGAATCCCGCCCGTGAAGGCAGGACTCGGGATCAGGAGGATGGAATCCGTAACCTCAGAACTCTTTTACCTTAAGTCTGAAAAGGCAGCTGGGCTAAAAGTCAGCGAAGCCACAGCTGCAAAGTGAGGTGAGAAGAGATACCTTGGGTCTCTTTTTCTGCTCCAGGCGGTCTTTGCCGCCCCCTCGGTGCGCCCCCCAAAACGCTTCGGCACTCGAGGGAGGAGAAGAATGAGACAAAGGTAGGCGGAGAAAGAAAATCTGAGCACCAAGGCAACGTAAACCGCCTCGCAAGATTTGCGAGGCAGGTGTTGCCACCAGCTATCAGATTATTCTCGACGCAATATTGTTAAATTGTTAAAATATGCATGCTAAGATCGCGTTGACGAACACAATCTTGAAATCAAACACAAGTCTGCCTAAAAGCGAATGTATGCCAAGATCGTGTTGACGAACACGATCCTGAAAGAAATGCAAATCTGTGTCAAAGCAAGTACCTGGCCAGGAGAAAATGTCGTGTTGATGAACACGAAAATGATGTATAAAATCTGTTTGGCGACTCCCGTTGGCGTTGCTCCTTAGGAGGCTGCCTCGGTGATCGCAAAAGATATCTATATGTGTGTATGGCCACTTGTGTGAAAGAATGAAGTGGCCTAAAAGAATGTATTAGCCACCGCTCAAGGCGAACTTTGATGAACGGAAGTTCTGCTCTTGAGCAGTGGACCTTGCGGCCGACTCACTACGCGTCGCCGTCCTTGTAGAACCTGCGGTCCCACACCCTCTGGCCGTTGTACGTCGCATAGCTTGTCGTAAACGTTTCCCAAGTGGTTCTCGGGATCCAGTTGCGGAACCAATCGTTGTACGTGATATCCTGGATGTACAAATACTCGTCGTTGTTGATCGCAATGCAGATCCAACATTTGATGTAATAACTCCAGTATCGAAGACCCCAATCGCTGTCCTCGAGATTGTGGCGCCAGTAAGCAGCGTAATCAGATGTACGTGCTCTCTTGGCGCGCGGCATCGCGGGCATGTAGTCCTCTGCGCCTGAGGCGCTGGATGCAGCGGCGTCGCCAGGAGCAGGGCGCGGCGGCGGCCGCGGCGGCGGCCGCGGCTCCATGGCGTCATCGGACTGTTGGGAGTGTGTATCTGGATCGGTTCTCATCCCTGTACTACCCCCCCTCTGGTCAGTGTGTGACGGATCGAGGGAGCCTATCAGCTCGTTGGCAATCGCGGCAAGCTTGCGCTGGGTGAACTGTTCACGGGTTCCGTCCCCTCGAGGGAGAGAAACCGTAATCAGTCCGCGCGCCTGCCGCGTCTGCCTGTCAATGCGTCCCTCGTTCAGCCACCACTTTCTCCGACCAGCCTGTCCTGTCCTAATACTGACGTCAAGGATGTCCCACGCGTCGCGCATGTCCTCGACTCTCCAGGGCTTCTTGCCGACATTCACGCGGGCTCCTGTCATCTGATGATGGAATCTGAGGTCGTTGAGAAAGCGTTGAATGAGATTGGCGTATGGGTAGTACAGAGGTCGGTCGTCCTCGGATTCGCCCATTAATCTGCATTCGTGTGCAGGCGGGCTACCGGCTTCGACCCACTTCTGATACCTTTTCTTGGACGTATTGGCCAATCTCCGCAACTGATCTTTCTCTGTGCCTATGGGGGATCGCGCACCCGTCATAATGACATGTGCGCCATCCTTCATGTATCTCGCGACCTGGTCCTCGGACAACGTCGTCTTGATCCAGTTCGTCAACTTCTGGAGGTACGCGAGGTCACTCTGTGTGGCGGTGCTCTTACCTGTGGCGCCTACGGCCACAGTGTATTGCCAACATATATCACAGAGTGTGCCGTCACCTGTGACGATACCGAGGGACAGATCTCGACCGCAATTGTTACAGAGCGGTATGGGATGCAAGATCGTCTCGGGGGCCCCTGCCGAAGTCAGGTGATCGCGGGATCCCCAGCGGGTGTCCTGACCGCGAGCGAGGCTCTGACCGATCTGATTGATCGCCTCACGATTGATCTCGGTGTTTGGTCTGGAAGCGATCGATCTGCTTAAACCCTCGATCTCGATCCGAGACAACCTTTCCCCTGGCAGTCCTTTGTACTCTATCTTGACGTTGTCGGTATCCTCAGTACCGCCATGGCATACGTTCTCCTCACGAAGACGGCGAGCCTGCTTCTGCAAGGTAGCCTCGTTGTCGCCCTCCTCGCGCTTGAGTCCCGTCTGTTCAGCTATGATGCGTGCCATAGTCTCCTGATCGGGAGCTGCAGACGCAACGCTGCCTGGGTCCTGGGGAATATCCTGCTCAGCGCCCTCCTCTCGAGGCGCAGCAGGTGTTTCCACCAGCTCTTCCCACGCAGGAAACTCTGGATCACCGTATGTCGCAGTACAATTTTTGTATAGGTCACGCAATGCCTGAAGTGCAGGATGGTTGTCATGGATGACTTCCTTGGCGAAATCTGGTAGCTCCACAATACTATCTTTCAAGATGTTCTGGTATACTTTGGAAATCCATTGAAAGATGCCAGTGGTCGACTCCTCGATAGTCTCCGGGTCGAGGTAGTGTACCAACTTTTTGAAGAAGTGATCTGCACCACAATTGGGTAAGTCATGTGCCCACTTGTGGGTATGATTGTAGTTCAAATGATATGACTCCGCGTTCCATGCTTTCGATCCAAATCGAATTTCAAATTGTAAATGTGACTGAATTTTGTCCATTACGATTCTGTCTGCGCCACTGTGTATCTCAATGATCTGCCTCATCTTGATCATAGGCGAATCCACCAATAGCGCCGATGTCCAACAATACACGCGGCAATCATCAGACTGTCTAATCCATCTTGAATCCTCGTCGGGGTCGTAGTCTGGATGATCAAGGAAATTCGATGGCGGATCAATGATGTTATCGAGGATGCTTGCCTCGATCTGCTCTTCTGCTTGGATGTCTGCCGAGAGGTCTGCCCTCATGTTGTCGTTCGCAGCTTTCTCATCTGCAGTAAGAACGATATTTGATATGTCCACGATTACGGTGATCAGTGGATCATGCGATGATGCTGTACCCTGTCGAGGAATGTCGCCCGTCTGAGCGTTGTCCTCGGCAGGTGTGGCCACCAGCTCGTCTGGATCAGGTGTCCGTGGAGCGGGCCTTCTTGGTGGTGTACGCGGAATACGTGGTCTATGGATGCTAGGCATTCCAAGGTATGGTAAGCTGCCGCTAACCTTGTGCTGCAGTATGTCCTCGCTGCAAGATGTCGGGCCTTTCAGGGCAGTCTCCATCCATGTTGGATCGATGGCGTGTTCTTCGATACGAATCGGCAATGCAAATACAACGCCCTTGAGGGGCATGCTTTTGTCATTATACCAGATATTTACCCATCGTAAACCGTAGTTGAGAATAGGTACTTGTACCGCAAAGAACTTGTCGAAGATGCCGAAATGGATGATTGGACCATATATGTGTCCCTTGGACAAGGCAATCTTGGTATTGTGATTGCCTTTGGGCCAATGGTTGTCGTAGTGGAAGCATTTGGTAGAACCCCAATTCTTAATGACAATGAAGTCGCCCATTCGAACATCGTTAAATGCAGGACGACGATCCCAATCTTTTTGCATGATCTTTGCTGTGATTGGTCGAAGAGCTTCACGACAATGTGATAATGCAATCAACCATTCTTTATCATCTGCTTTGTGATTGGTCTCCTGGATCATAGCACGTACTATTTGCTCGTCCAAGGCGTCCTCTGCGGATGTACGGCCAGCAGGGGTTTCCCCCGGCCTGGCCGAGGGTGCTGATGCTGGCGTCATCCTTGGAGGCTCCATGTCTTGGTCGGGGTCGATAGGTGCCAATCCAGGTGGGTCGTCAATAAGTTCTCCAGGAAGGCAGGCGCAAATCTCGTACTTGCTCAATGGCTCTCTGGCTGCCAATGGCGGGTAGTCCCATGGGTCGCCGTCTGGCCACAGCTGCTGGCCATGCATGTGGTGTGGTTTGAGGCGGCGAATTGCAATAATTGCCGCAGCGGGTACCACGTCCTCAGTCATGATAGCGCCCTGAGCACCCAACCAAAATCTGCAACCTGCTTTTGTGGCGATCTCCATGTTGATCACCAGCTCGACTTCGTTCTTGTAGCTGTTGAACTTGTACGATTCCACTGAAGTATGTGGGTTCTTTTGAACGTTGTTCAAATATGTGCTAGAACTGAAGAATGCCTCAGATCGCTGCGATGGTTTATAAGTTCTGTCTCTCTGAGAATGTGGTTCAACATATCCAGGAATGATCCCTGTCTTCAGTATGTTCTTCCAGGCGCGGGATGCTGTTCCATGATGGAGATATTTGATATCTGTCCACTGTAAGCTCTCCCATCCCATGTTCCATGGCTTTGAAGATGGGTTGACACAACTGTGACCACCGACGCACCGAATAGCAATAACGCTGTTCCAGTCAAAAGTGCTGGGGTCACCTCCGTCAGGAATCGGCTTGGCGTATATCTCGATTCTGTTTTTCTGCGGGTCAATATGCTTCTGGAACGCACGAATAATGAATATCGGATAGTAGTCGTTCCAATCGGTGTATCCATCATTTTCACCGTCTTTCTTGAAATGTGCCACTGCCGCTTCCATGGATGGTCCATTGTGTCTTTCTTTGCGATCTCGGAATTTCCATTGAACCATTTCTTTAAATGATTTCCAATTGTTTGGAATCTTCCAATCATTCTTTGTTGTTTTGTCCCAGATATTAATACGTCTGTCATGAAATTGGTTGATCCAAAACTTTTTGTAGTGAATCTCATGG